TAGTGGGAGGCTACATAGGGCTTCATAGTCATATTCGTACAGCCCAGGTGGTCAGGAAATAGGAAAAGTCTCTTTCTGGACTTTTGAAGTAGGATATTTGAGTCCTAGGTTAGGATAATGGGGTATTTCCCAAAGCCAGGATGGGATGGGGATTTCTATTCTGCAGCTCAAAACAAAAATACTCCACAGATGTCTATTTTTTCTTCTACACTTCAGATTGTTTTCAGTTCACACCTGTGGAATTTTGTGACCAACACACATTGCCTGCAGATATTTTATCTTTGCCCTACTAATTTTATACCTAATGTAAGAAATTGTAACATCTAAATATCTTTTTTTTTCTTTTCTTTTTGGTACCAGGGATCAAACTCATGGAATCAAACTTGCTAGGCAGGCGCTATGCCTCTGAGTTATATTCCTGACCTGAAATTTCTAAGAAACGCTAAATTAACTCTAAGTACTTTTAGGTTGGTTCTCATTTTTAAATGAGAATGTGTATGGTAATTTTTGATAAAACAAATTTACTGGGTTGAGTTAAAATCAAGTTTTTTTTTGGAGACAGGGTCTCGCTATGCAGTTCAGGATGAACTAGAACTATATAGCTGAGGCTGGCCTCAAATTTGTGCTAATCCTTCCTCAGCCTCCCAAATGCTGGGATTACAGGCACACGCCACCACACCCAGCCAAATTAAGTACTTTCATACATTTCTATTTCGTTCATGTACTAAAGTATAAAGCTATTTTTTTTTTTTTTTGTCTTTTTCCTTTTTATCGGTACCGGGGATTGAACTCACGACTGCCTGCTTGAGTATAAAGCTATTTTATCAAATGTATTTTAGATGTCTATTGAGATGATTCCATTTTTTATGGGAAAACTCAATAGATTTTTGTAAACCATCCTTGCTTTCTTAAAAGACACAGCAGTTATGTTGTGGTATTCCTTGAGGCTGGACTTGATTTGCAAGAGGAGTCAGGGTTTTTGCTTCTATATGCCTGTGGGGTAAGCCTATAAAATCTGTTTTTAGGTAATGGTGTTTTCTGATATCAGAATTACACTAGCTTTGTAACAGACTTTGCTATCTTTTACCATATGCTACAATAGCTCAATATGGGAATGTTCCTTTGATTTTAAAAAACCATTCATGTTGGGTGTGATGGTGCATACCTGTAATCCTAGCACTAGGAAGGCTGAAGCAGGATTGCCATAAGTTCAAGGCCGGCCTGAATTATAGTGTCTCAAAATCAAAACAAAACTCAATTACAAAATAATCCAGTCTTATGTCTCTTTGGAAGGAATCTTTCGGCAACTACTTTATTCGACAGCTAATTCAACTATTCCCAGTAAGTTATTTTTCTAGGAAATCACCTACTTTATTACTATTTTTAAATTCTTGGTATGGTATAAAAGTCCATAAAGATTTTTCTCTATTTTTGGGTACAAATTTTTTTCACAAGTGCTATAGATTTTTTTTTTTGGGTAAATGTGCCGTTTTGCTTTTAATTTTCTTTTGATTTATTCCACAATATTTGGAATCACCTCTTTGAAATGTTCTACTTTACTAATTTGTATTTTATAGTTGTTTATTCTTGAGGCACTAGGGATTGAACCCAGGACCTCAACCTTAATTGAACTATATCCCCGACCACATTCCACACAGAGCCTGCTTTTTTTTTGAGACAGGATCTCACTGGATCACTGAGCTGCCCAGGAAGGGCTCAAATTTCATTCTACTGCTTAACTTCAACTTCCCAGAACAGGCATATGCCATGATGTCCAGATTTTGTAATTTCTTACTTTCCCTAGCATTTTTCTCAAAAATTTTTTTTGTTGTTTGTTTCAGTACTAGGAACCAACCCAGGTCCTCACACTGAGTGATTATCTCAGCTTTACTTTTTTAAAAAAATTTTTGAGATGGTCTTGCTAAATGAGGCTGGCTTTAAAAATTTGTAATCCTCTTGCCTCAAGTCTCCTAAGTACCTGGTTATACAGATGTGCTATCACAATTTGATTTTATTAGGTACTTGGATGTTTAAAAAACAATAGGGTCGGGCATGGTGGCACACACCTGTAATCCTAGAAATTCAGAGGCTGAGACAGGAGGATTGCTGGGAGTTTAGGGGCCTAGCCTACTCAGTGAATTCAAGGCCAGCCTGGACTAGAGTGAGACCCTGCCTCAAAAAAATCCAAAAGCCAAACCAAAACAAAAACCCCCAAACAATAGGAACTTTTGGGGTTATACCTAGGAACAGATTTGCTGACCACATGAAACTATTTTTTCTTTATAGAGGTGGGGACAGCTCTACTTAATTTTCTGAAGAACTGCCAAACTTTCACAGATTTGTACCATTTCACATTCCTACTAGCAATATAGGAAGGCTCCAATCTGTACATATCCTGGACATTTGTTATTGAAACTAGTCCACTGGTAACTCACTGTAGCTCTTACTAGCATTTTCCTGATGACTAAATATTTGAATATGTTTTCATGTATTATTTGGATCAGCTATGTATTTTCTCTGAAGCAACGTCTGGTCAGTGACCATTACCGTTTTTCATGGAAGAACACTTTAAAACCCAGATTGGTAACCAACAATGCAGAGCACAGGTTTTGGCCTCCTGACCATTCTTTCCTGCAACTGGGACTGGAGGATGGGCAGACACAACTCCCGTTAGGGTACCGGGAGATCAATCTTTTATTTCAGCTTTTATATATGGATAGTTTAGATGTAAAACTTATGGACCCAGCAGAATATAATTAAGACAACTTTACACCAATGAGCTAGATTTAGTTTAATAAACATTTACGGTATGTGTTTAGCATTGTGCCAAAGGTTAGGGAAAATTACCTACCACTTCAAAAATTTGAAATAAATAAAACAAAAAACCTGAAACACCTGATTGCCATTCCTTTTGTCTTACGGTTCTTAGAGGATGTACACTGGACAAAAACTGCCACTAGGAAAATGAAAAAAAAAAAAACATTTAAAATCAAATCATGTAATTTTGAATCGTTTCATGAGTTTTTGACTATAATTCTAGACTTGCTGTTCCAACACATTAGACCCTGTAACTTCACATGGACCTGCTTTCTTCGGAAATTTTTCACTGTAAGGAATCTTTCACCATTTAAGGTAGTATTTAAAAAAAAATTTTTTTTAAAGATGGGGTCTTGCTTTACACTTCAAGCTGGTCTTGAGCTAACAGGTAGCTCAGCCTGGCCTTATAGTCATGGCACACCTGCCTCAGCCTCCTGAGTGTGGGGATTACAGGTGTGGACATCACATCCAACTATTTTGTGTCAGTGTGGTACTGGAGACTAACCCCAAGCTAGCAAAGCATTCTATACTGAGCTACATTCCTCTTAAATTTTAGAGACAAAGTAAGTTGGCCAAGTTGGACTCAAATTTACAATCTTACTGCCTCAATCTCTCAAGCAGGCCAGAACAAGAATACTGCTTGAACCCTATGCACTTCAAGTAATGTAACAGATCGGTTTTTTTGGTATTGGTTTCAAAACCACAATCTTGCGCTTGCCAGGCAGGCCCTTATGCCACTGAGCCTACTCCCTTGGCCCTTATTTTCCATTATAACACCCCAGTGTTACAAAATTCACTTGTGTTGCAACTTTGTTTCTTTTTGTTCAGTACTGGGGATTGAATTCTGGGTCTTACACTGCTAAGCAACATTTCACACTGAACTACACCTGTCATCTTTTAAAACTTATTTTGTGGTACTGGGGATTGAACCCAGGAGCTACTATGATACCACTCTCCCCTTTAGACAGGGTTTTGCTAAACTGCCCAGACTGGCCTTAAATTTGTGAGCCTCCTGGCTCAACTTTCAGAGTTGCTGGGATTATACACATGCACTATGCCTGGGGCTTGATGTAGTTATCCTTTATCAAAGCCAAACTTGGTGATGGCTTAAACAAAGAAAATTGAGTAAGGTTTTCAGATATGCCAGGAAGGTGTACATTTTTGTTAAAATATTTGTTAAAAACACTTTAGTTACTATAATTTTATTTTCAAGGCTAATCTTGCAATTTTAAATTTGGCCCTGTAACATTACATGCTACTCAGTCTTGCATTTGACTACACTAGTTCCTTTAGTTCTGTCCCTCCTTTTCTGACTCTGCCTAATCCCTCACCTGTATTCTGTATAGAATGAAGAAAACTCTCATTGTTATAAAATACTTAAAACCATCTCCCACCAGTGAGGCCATTCAAAAGATTAGCTTTGGCTAAGGCTTTAGCTCAGTGACAGAGTCCCTACATGGGAGAGATTTGGGTTCACTCTCCAACGCTCCAAACCCATGATAACCTCTAAAGGGCAGTTCCAAAAACATCTGAGCAACAAATACCCTGCAAAGTGACGGATGCTGTTAATGAGGGGAAAAAATTTTTTTTTCTTTTAAAGTATGTAGGTTGTAAGCACATACTAACTCCCTACCTCCCACCATTTTAACATTTTATATAGCAGTTCAAATTTTAACATAGATGTAACTCATTTACAATCTAAGCATCTTTTTGGTTTTTTTGAGTCGGGCTCTCCCTATGTAGTTCAGACTGGCCTTGAACTCACTACCTAGCCTGGATTGGCCTCCAATTCATAGCTTTAGCCTCTTGAGTGCTGGGATTAGTTTTACTTAACCAGAACTAAAGTCTAGACCTAATATCTCACCGCAAATCAGTTTGTCTTGGATTACTGAAGTTTTATCCTGGGCTCTTGTTTTAAAAAACTTCAAAAAAGAACATATTGGTTGATTTAAATGGTGGCTGGCCTACGGCCATACCACCCTAAACACACTGATCTCATCTGAATGGTGGCTGTAAGAAACTAAATAAACCTGTATTTTAAAAAGTTTTAAATCAAATTATAGAAGACAACTGTGTCGAAAGCCTAAAGAAAGCATACTTACCAATTCAAATTCATTCTTGAGACTGATATAGAAACTCTGAAAGTATTCTGAAGCAAAAATGACATTACACAAGCTCAAAAGTACAATAAAGTCTGTGTCAAAATTTAATAGTGAAGCTAAAACAGCTGATACGCAGGAGGATTAAGCACAAACTTATTTCATGATGTAACAGGAGATTTTGACAAAATGATCTACATTAACCTAGTTTTTGTTGAGTTTAAAGGTACTGGAGATAAAACCCAGGTGTGCTCTACTACAGAGCTTCATTCGCTGTCTTTTTGTGTATTTTTCTGTTTTGAGACAGTCATAGAAAGTTGTCCACATTGGCTGCAACCTTGTGATCCTCCCAAATAGCTGAGGTTACAGGTGTGTGTGATACCAATCCAGCTTAAGCTCATTTTGCAAGGAAATACGCTGAAGATTTACAGTTGCTATGACAGCTGTGTTCTAAAAGAATACTAAGTGCAACACCAGTGCATCTTTTCCCATGCTAAATAAAGATGTCGTGTCATGGTTTGTTTTTTTAAAGACAAGGTCTTGCTCTGTAGCCCAGGCTGGCCTTGAACTCACCATGATCCTCTTCAGCCTCGTGAGTGTGGGATTACAGAGGCATGCCATAACATACAGCATGACTCATAAGAGTTTAATTTCAGAACACCCACTGATGATGGCACTATATTTATTGGAACTTATTTTAATTAGAAGATATAATCATACTATATTTAAGTACATTATAAAATTTTCATTGCATCTCTCCACATTGTTCTATTTTATAACATTTCACTTAGGTGGAGGAAGACTAGAATTGTCTGGTTTTAAGATTTAGATAAAGCTCATAGTGATTGTTTTAATATACACTTAAACAAGTAGAAGTATACTCAAAAAGGACTATGTAGGAAGAATGAGGAAGGGAGTTTATCGTAAAATGAGAACACAGCACTTTGGACTGCCCAAAACGCACAATACACAGAACTCCTAAGTCATGTAGTTTCCTTGTTGACCATCTGGCCACAGTTCAAACAGTTATAGCCCTAAAAGTTGTACTTATAACCTTCCAAAATTTCTTTTAAATTAACTTCTTAAATTGTAGCAATAAACAAAACACAATACACTTAAACAATATTGCAGTTTATAAAAAAACACATTTAAGAAAAACTCTTATTCTTTGAGTTATAAAAAATGTTTTGACTAAGTTATAAATGTTTATCATGTAATTATTTGCATAACTAGTAACACTTATCAGCAACTATAGGATCATAATTTTTTTAAAAACAAAAACCATAAAAATACTTAGCCCCATTTTTTTTACCTGTAGAACATGTTCATTTATGCCTATATTTCAGCATTTGCTATATCATTGTTCTAATTTTTAAAGTTACATCCAAAAGATAAGGCAAAACCACCTACGAATTGGCATATCTGTTTATTTCTGTTTGTGAAAACGTCCTTAATTTGCTGATATGGCAAACAAATGTCAACTCTGCTATGCAAAAAACAAGATAATCTGCTTTGCAATTAACTTTATAGTTCAATTGCATACAGGCAACATGCTATATATGAAAAAATTACTAACTGAACTACAAGTATTAAATACTGAAAAATTAACAGTTTATTATAATTTATTTTATTTAACAATCTAGGAAGTTCGCAGCCATCAGCAGTTCCAGTGCTATCTCAGGTGCGATGGGAAATTCGGGAATCTCAGTGGAGCTGTTAGTGTAGCGAACCTTGTAGGTAAAATACATGCAGACTTTCGAAAGCACATGTGACGGGATCTCTCTAAAATTGACCTCATTGGTTTCGTTTTCAGCAAACTGACCTGTAAAACAAAACGATTGTTGTATGTTATGGGCTGAATAGTAGGCCCCCACCCCAATTCCTATGGTGGAGGTATCTAGGACCTCAGAGTGTGACTGTATTTAAAGATTTAATCAAGTTAAAATGAGGACTCTGGGTAGCAATCTGATATGACTGATCTCACCAGGGCGGATCAGGTACAGAGGTAAGACCAAGTGGAGACCCAGGGAGAGGACTATCTACACCAGCAAGGAAGAGGCCTCAGAAGAATCAACCCTGTCAATGCTTTGAACCTCAATCTTTACACTACACCATTGTGAGAAAATGCAATCTTTTGTTTAAGCCATTTGGTCTACGGTATGTTGTTATGGTTATGGCAGCTCTAGCAAATAAACAAATGTTAAAAGAGTAACTACACAGCAACTCACAGATTACCTGAATTTTTCAGTATAAACAACATAAATCTTTATTAAAAAAGAATTAAGACTGACTTTTAAATTCTAATATTCTCCCCATAGGTGAGAGACTTAAATAGCTTTTCCTAAAGATCTTGATGGTCTGATTATTAAAACATAGGAAGGATGAAAAAAAAAGCTAACCAATTTTTTTAATATTCAGCTCGGAGAATCAAGTCTTTACAGATTACCAGGAATCCCATGCTGTACTGAATTACTACATAAAAATAACATCACAGCAAGTAACGGATTTTCTATTGGTCCTTTGGCAGTAAGTATATAAAGTACTAAATAACAAATACTTTTTTGGCACTGGGACTTGAATCCAGGGCCTTGTGTATGGTAAATGCATGCTCTACTACTAAGCTTTACACCTAACCCAAGATATACTATTAAAAAGAAAAGAAAAAAACAAAACAAAAAAAACCCCTTTCTAGCAAGGAAATCCACTATTTCTTTCTTTAGTTAAAAAAAATATGCTTATGAGCATGATCAACTTGTCTAAAAATAAAAAATAAAAAGGGCTGGGGATGCCAGGTGTAGTGGGGCACACCTATAATCCCAGCACTAGGGAGGCTGAGACAGGAGGACTCCTGGGAGTTTGAGGGCAACCTGGACTATACAGTAAGTCCAAGACCAACCCGAACTACACAGTGACACTGTCTAAAAAGGGAGTGAAGGGGGCTAGGGGATACAGTTCAGTGGTAGTGACTCTAGATTCAATATCCAAAACTATAAATGAAAAAGAATAAAAAAAACAAAAAGAAAAAAGAAGCCTCATGTTAATGACATATTCTCCTAAGAATTTTCTGTTTAATAGCAGCTCATAGTTTTCAGGCATCCATCAATATATTTTTAGCCACATATGTAACATTGTTTAGCATTTACTCACATGGACAAAATGTTTAACAGTCTAGTACTGACACTGCATAATGAATACAAAAGGCATTTCATATTAAAAGTACATTTTTCTGAGAATGTGGTATTAAGTTTTCTATTTTCTATGGGAGGGTGGGAGTATAAAAGGAAAAAGGCAGTATTCAGCAAGACAATTCACAACAATACTAAATTTCCTTTTCTTGCATGTATATATGAAATATTATCAACAGGCAAACTAGGATTTATTAGGTATCAACAGTTTTTCTTTGTTGAAATGAACACCATTAAACACAATCATCTACTTTAAAGTATACAACTTGGTGGCATTTAGTTTGCTTAGTGTTGTATAACTGAGCCATCCAGCCAATAAAAAACTATTTTTTTAGTAGTTTTTGTAGTATTAGGAACTGAGTCCTAGGGTACTCTACTACTGAGCTACTTCCCTAGTCCTATCTGTTGTCCATTCATCCGTTGTCCATCTATCCATCCATCACCACATAAAGAACTATTTATCTGAATGAAGTCATTCAGATAAAATCTGTATAAACACAAATACACACTGAATCCTAACACACAGCAAAGGACAAAGTAAAAACAAAGCTAACTGACAGAGCTAAAAACAGTAGGACACAATTGCCTTGTATACTAGAAAGTTGTTTATAAATAATCATCAGAGCAACAGAAGACCAATCTTCAATGCTGTCCTGCCAGGTTTGTTTAGTATTTCTGTTTTCTCCAATGTCTTCCTCTTTAGCATGGCTGGCAATTATTTTGGTGACTGTTAGCCCCATGCCATAAGAGCTTGGTGGACGATTATACTTTATGTCCCTGTTCATGCCCATAGTTTCCGAAGTTCCACCCAGTATGATTATATCCACCAGACACAACCACTACTGTTATTGTCATACCCTTGATCTTATTAGTTATTAACTCCTTGGTTCCAGTTTTGGTTTTAACCTTGGCTGGAAACCCCAGGACCACCAATCCACCAGCTGCAGAGCCTCTTCCTCCTTTTCAGTGCTGATGTTGCTGCCAATTCACATTTCTGGATTGTGCAACTTTGATTTCACACTTCCTAGAACCAAACTGCTGCTTGTTTCTTGAATGGCTCTTCATCTATGTATGTAACACAACTAAATCTTCTCCTTTCATTTGTTTTTGTATCCATGGGAAGTTCAATATTTTCAATTTCTTCAAAGGCTTCAAAATATTCTTTAATTTGTTCTTTAGAAGTATTTGGAAAGAACACAAAGGAGTTCTTTCCCTTTTAAAGCTTCGACCCTCTGGGGTCTATCAATTTGCCATCCAATCTGTGCTTAGTTCCAAAACTTTATTTTACTGTATTTTATTTATGTATTTATTTTTTTGAGACAGGGGTCTCACTATGCAGTTCAAGCTGGCCTTGAGCTCACTTTGTAGCCCAGGCTGGTCTTGAACTTGCAACGATTCTCCCACCTCAGCCTCAGTGCTGGGATTACATGCGTGAGCCACCACGCCCGGCTCAGTTCCAAAACTTTATCCATGCCCGTAGCATCTCTGAAAAGCACAAATCCCAAGCTTCTTGATCTTCCAGTGACTGGGTTTGTTTGAACTGTGCAGTCTACAACTTCCCCAAATCCAAACAAATATTCAGTCAAATCTTTCTGGCTTGTATCCCAGCTCAAGCCTCCAATAAATATTTTAGCATTCGTGGTCACATTCATCTCAGACCCCTTGGTCTGAGATCTCCTCTATTTTGCTGTACTCATTGACACTCTGGTGGCAGAGCCATGGGCACGGCTGGGAGGTGCATGGTCTGGGTAGTGGAGATGCTGGCAGCACGGAGCAATGTATGAAGCTGGATTTAAAATGGTGGCCGAAGAGCTATTTATTTTTGAGACTGGATCTCACTAAATTCTTCAGGCTGGGCTTGCGCTTGCAATCCTCTTGCCTCATTAAGCCAAAATCAAACCATAAGCCATTAAGCAGTCATGTCCATTTTCCCCAGGATTTGCCGAACAATCTGCTTTCCATCTATATGGATTTACCTATTCTGGGTGTTACATGCAAATTAAATCCTATTAAGTGTCAGCTTGCTTTTAGTGAGCTTGTTTTGGAAATGCATTCATACTGTAGTATGCAATAACACTTTCCCACAAAATCCCATTTCTATAATACTGGGGATTGAAATCTCCACTTTGCCTGGAATAATCAAATATTTCTTTATAAGATGATTCTAGCTAATAAAGACAGAAGAAATTACAGAATTACCTGAGATCACCATTTTATAATCACAAATGAAGTGAATCACAATAGTCACAATGAATGCTAAAATCATTACATGAAAGTCAGAGTAGGGAGTTTTTCATGGATGAATCAGTCTGACAATCCTGGACTCCCCCCCCCCCCGCCCCATCTTGACATTGCTGAAAGATGTGATATAATAGAAATACTATTAGTGCACAAGGTGGTGGGCCCTATTCCCAGAACCATAAAATGAAACCAAAAAAGCAAAAAGCAATTAAACCCCCCACAAAGTTGAAGGAACACAAAAGTAGCACTTGTAATATACTCTTAACTAGAAATAAATACTAGAATCTAATCACAACTCAATAATTCTGAGTGTACAGGAAGAAACATTAAATTAATCCAAAATATGGACATTATATAACTGATTGTTTCTCTAAAAAACCTGGTAGTATGTGTAAAAATGGGAAGGTACATGAGAACTATCACAGAGTTTAGAAGTGAAATGACATGAAATCAGAAATTTGCTTGAAATACTAAAATATAGGGAAGGTAGGTAAAGTGAAATATGATGGATAAAATGTTAATAACTTATTAAAGTTGGTTATGGGTATATGGAGGTGTATTATACTTTTCTCACTGTTTAATACTTCCATACTAAAAACACAGAAAAGGAATTATAATGATACCAAATAACCAAGACAACATTGAAACAAATCAAAATTAGATGCTTCACACAGTCCAATTTACAAGCTTACAACAAAGATGTAGTAAGCAGAGCAGCATGGTACTAGTGTAACAATAAACATATAGATCAGCAGAACCAAGAGCTCAGAAATAAACTCACACACATCTACAGTCAATTGATTTTTAACGAAAGTGACAAGACCATTCAAAATGGAAGGAATGGTACCCATATGCTAAAGAATAAAGCTGAACAATTCCACATCATAAAGAAAAATTAAAACCAAAGAAAAAAGAGTTAAACCCACAGAATTAGAATATAGGGGATCTAACTACATAAAATCACGTTTAGATTTGGCAATGGGTTTAGAAGTCAAAGAAAAATAAAATTTAAAAAATAAATCATACTTTATCAAAATTAGAAAGTATTTTTCAAAATTAAAATTCTTTAGTGCTCCAGATAATACCATCAGGAAAAAGACAAGGGAGCTCATTGGTAGAATGTATGCAGGCAAAAGGCTCAAATATTTATCATAGAAAAACAAATCGGACACCACAGTGAAATATTCCTTCACACCTACTAGGAAAGACAAGATCAAAAAGGACTGGGAAGTATGACAATGGTAGGGCACATGTCTTGTAAGAACCTAGGTTCAATCCCCAGTACTGGGGGCTAAAAGGACACAATAACAAATACTGGCCAGGACATGTAAAAAGCTCTAATATGCTATCTATTGGTAAAAACATAAATGGCTTCTTGTGCTGTAGAAACAATTTGGTGATTCCTCTAGATGTTAAACATACAAATGATCAAGCAATTCCACTACAAAGAATATATGCAAAAGACACTAAAGAAGATTTTCAAACAAATAATCTATATATGAATGTTCATAGCAGCAATATTCATCATAGCCTAAAGGTGGAAACAACCTCAGAATTCATCAACTAATGAACAGATAAACAAAATGTGGCACAGTCATTCAGTAAACTATTAGCTATTAAAAGACTTAATTGCTACTTCTACATATGCTACCCACATCGATGAATCTTGAAAATATTAATGCCACGTGAAAAAAAAGCCAGACACAAAAGGTCATCGTTTTATGATTCCATTTGTATGAAATGTCCAGAACAGATACATTAAAAGCTGACTGCTAGCTGCTGAATATTGGTAGGGAGAAGACAATGAAAGCTTAAAGAGTACGGAGGCTCCTTCTGGAGTGATGAAAATGTCTTGGAATTAGAAGTGATGGTTGCAAACACTGGAAAAGTAGTAACTTACACTAAATTGTACACTTTAAAATTTAACTGTATGTGCATTTTTCATATTAAAAACTGTATTTCAAGAAAAAAAGGTTAATACAGATCTGGGAAATAACTTCTATAAAGTATATAAAACTAGAACAAATCACAAATCAGTCTTAGTTAAGACACTTGACAATGGAAATAAATGTAGAGAAACAAATCTATAATACAATGAATTCAGTCTTTACAGAGTCAATAATAACAGAAAAGAGGAGAAGCCAGTTTTTTCCCAATCCACATTATCACGCAATAATGCTGGAATAGTTACTCTAAGTTTTAGAAGTTGTTTGACTCAACTTAAAAACACATTTGACAAACAAAAGATATATAAAGGAAAAACAAAGAGCTGTACTTACCTGGGCCACTCAACATGGCTTTTATAGTTCCTGATGTTAGTGCGTGTTCTCTTTTTACAATAAACTCATGACCATCAGAAGATATCAATTTGACGTACATGGCATCGGGGCCTTCACAGCCACCATAGGTTTTCTCCTCTCCATCTAAAGTAAAATAATAAAGTGAGTTTTGCATTACATATGTGTTAAGAAGAAGCAATGCCTGGAGCAGTGGCAAACGCCTGTAATCTAAGCTATGTAAGAGGCTAAGGCAAAAGGAGCACATGTGTGAGGCCAAGCTGGGAAAATTAACAAAGCTTAGTCAAAAGAAAAAGTAAGTATTAGCGCACCAGGGAAGAATGGAGGTAATGAAGAAAGAAAGAATACATGAATTAGGTTTATCAAGGTTAACATTTGAGGATTTTAAGACCAAAACATTTCGGAAAGGTAATTACCACGATTTTCAAGTTTTTAATACCCTGATTTACTTACTATTCTCTAAAATATCTATTTATCTTCCACTATCATATAAACTCTGGGTCAAATGATACAACATTAGATGAAAAACCAACCAGAAATTCTCAAGGAAGTATTTTTTGGTGACTAAAGTAGCACATTCAAATGTGAAGCCTAAGACAAAAATATTTAAATAGTATGACTTTAATTATATCATGTGAAATACATTTTTAGCAATAAATTGCAGTTTGTGATTTAATGTTTATACGCCATCTGAAATAATCTTGCTTTGGCAAGCCCCAAGTCTAGAAATTAAAGCTTTCCTTATCATTTTATTTCTGATCCATAAAGAACTATTAGAACTATTTATTATCAATTTAAATTATTAGATGATTGAAGTACACACAAAATAGTTTTTTAAAAAATTCCAAATAGAAGGTGGGCATGGTGGTGCATGCCTGTAATCCCAGCACTCAGAAGGATCATAATGAATTTAAGGTCAGTCTGAGTTATAAAGCAAGACCCTGTCTCAAAACAACCAACCAACCAACAAAAGAACAAAACTCAAAAACAGCACAGAGGGTCTAGGTGATGCAGTTCAGTGGTAGAGTGGTTGTCTGCCATGTACAAGGCCCTGGGTTCAATTCCTAGCACTACCACCAAAATAAAAAATAAGAGAGAATGCATCTGCTACCAGATATCTGTACTGCCACGGTCACAGCAGTCACAACAGTTGACATAGCTTTTTGGCACCAAAGAATCTTGCTCCATACCCCCGCCAAATAAAGAACTATTCCAAGAACACTAAAGAAGCTGTGGACGGTAGCTCACACCTGTAGCCCCGCACTCTGGCTGAGGCAGGAGGAGAATCACAGCCTGGGCTGTGCAGTGAGTTACGCTGAACTATAAAGTGCTCAAAAACGAAACAAAACAAAACAAGCCAAACAAGAACACTAAAGAAACAAGTTAATACAATAAGTGACATGTTACGGGGTCCTAGATTAAAAAAAACCTTCTGTAAATATCACTACTGAAACAACTGGGAAATTCTGACATGGACTAACTGAGAAGAAACATGTGGAAATATTTAGGTGCAAAGTCTGCTGCATGAACATTAAATAGAGAGGCAGCACACAACATGCAGAGAAAGCAAACATAGCAAAACATTAACCACTCAGTGGAAGCTATGACTGTATTATTATTGCAATTTTTCATTAAAAAAAATTTGGAAGACTCAAAGTTGCAAAGAATTTCAAAATTAAGACTATTCAAGTCTTAGCAGTTTTTTGCTAATATCTAAGAAAAAATTTAAAATATCAATTATCTCAATTTGAAATTGTTTCTAATATGTTTTTAAGACAAAGCAATTTTATGTTTGTTGGGAAAGTTATGAATTTCTGAAGGAACAATTACGCACTAAAAACTACCAATTAGATCTTGCACAATACTGATCTGCCCTTCAGAAATATACAGTAAACAAGCTGTTGACATTAACAACTAGTTGCAGTTTTGCTGTTTTCTTATTTGCATTTAATGACTCAAAAGACCAACTTTCTTTAATAGAAAAGCTAGCTTCTACTAATTAAAACAGAAAAATTACTTACCCATTATGTTCTTATATAATTCTACTTTGGTTCCACAGGAATGTTAGTAGTTCCCTGAAAATATGAAAACACAGTATTAAAATTAATGTAACAGTCACACTTTCACTCATTATTATTTAATATGTCCTCAATCATGATCCCAACACACAAGTCTATCAATCAAATGAAAAGTATCAAAATGTTTTGTGAGCTTAATCATTAGAGGTGTCAAAACTCAGTAAGAGTATTTAAATTAGAAAACTAACAAGTAACCACCAGAAAATGACTGGAGTGGTGGCAATCATGGAAAGGTCATGAAGTATGTGTCATGCTAAAAGTAAACTGGAGAGACTTCCGGGAGAACATGGCGGACAGATAACAGCAACTACCGGAGGCTCTCTGAAAGGCTCGGCTCAGAAGTCAGGAATGATGTGGACTAAGGAGACATGAGCCGGTAGAGATATGCTCTGCTGACTCAGGAACGAACTGGGCTGAGAGAAACCAACCTGGAATGCAGTCCTGGCGCTAAAATAGGAATAGAAAAGACTCGGTGTGGAGGCTGGACTCCGCGCCATTGGAAACCGCGATTTGGGGACAAGGAGGCGTACACTGACTTGTGGCGAGGTGAGTGAGAGAAACTGACACTCTACCACAGTTTGACTCCAGTGGAGGACTTTCTGGGCTCGGGCAGTCCTGTAAGAGCAGGGCGCGGTGGCGATTCCAGCCACACATTCCCCTCTTGGACGGGATTGGTGAAAAGTGCCTGGCCTGCGTGAGGCTGCGGGCGGACTTGGTAGGCTGGCCTAACCCAGATCCCAGAGCCTGACGGTGGCCCGGAAGGGCGACTGACTCCCGCGTAGGCTGCCTAGTCCGAAACTCCCTGGTGTGCAGTGGTGGGCAGGAACACCTAGCCAGCGCAATTTGATCAGGCTGTGGCTGACAGGCAGGGAAGCTGGGCCTCCTATGTAAGCTTGCATATATATAAGGAACAGAGAATATGGGGAAGGAAAGCAATAAGAAAGGCTCCTCGGCCCCCAATTCTGAGAAACAGGCAATAGCGGACACCGCACCAACAGACATTAAGCGCCATATAGAGAGCCTCATAGACCAATTCAGGAATGAAGTTATCAACGACCTGAAGCTAGAAGTATGTAGAATAGTTAGAGAAATGCTAAGCACCACCCAGGAAAAAACAGATGGTGGAATGGAAGAACAGAAAAAGAGGGGAGAATTGTTTGATGGAGAAAACAGAGAAAGCATAGAGTACGTGAAACAGGTTCAAAGGGACTATCAAGAAATTAAGAAGTCTATCCAAGACTGGCATAACAGCTTGAAAGAAACTAAGGACAGACTATCTGAACTGGAGGGCAGACTTGAAACATGGGAGAATGAAATGAAAAACTTCTTAAAAATAACAAAGAAACAAACAGCAATAATACAAAGACAAGAAGATGATAAGAGGAGCCATAACTTAAGGATTAAGAACATAAAAGAAGAAGTAGGGACACAAACAAGTGAACTACAAAAGCTACTCACAGAAATAATCCAGGAGAATTTTCCTAATTTAGCAAAAGGTAAAGATACTCAGATGTATGAGACATACAGGACCCCAGCTACCTACAACCCTAACAGAGAAACACCCAGGCATATAATAATTAAAATTCCAGAAATTCAATACAAGAACAGAATATAAAAAGCTGTAAGAGACAAGAAACAGACCACTTACAAGGGAACACCCATCAGAATTACAGCAGATTTCTCTGCACAAACCATCAAATCACGAAGAGCATGGGGGGAAATAATTCAAGCTTTGAAAGATAATAATCTCCAGCCAAGATTGAGATATCCTGCACAACTGTCCCTGGAAATTGATGGAAAAACAAGGTGCTTCCAGGATAAAGAGGAACTGGGGGAATTTGCAACCACCAATTCAACTCTACAGAGAGTATTGCAGGATATTCTAAAAAAAGAAAAATACAAAGAACCCAGAAATAGTGGCGGGGAGGCCACAACGAATGGAGCAGAGAACAAAATGAAGAAGACAAACTGACAGCTACTGACAGAAAAAGAGCTCAACAGAAATGAGACAGAGAAGATTGGATGATAGGAACAGCTATTTTGGAGAAAATGACATCTTAATAGGTAATACTGATTTAGTATCATCTTGTTTTGAAGTCTCATCTAACTTTTGTTCTTCTGTCTCCAATGGTCTAAACAGGTTGTATCTTATTGGATTTTATTATGTACGATAGTATAAGCAAAAACCTTTTAAAGACAAGGAGATTATACAGAAACCATTGTTCATTTTCTGTTAGTCGATTCTGAATACTCTGTAATGCTGTCATTCTCTTAAATGGTTTTACATTGTTTTGATATACTTAATGCTACAGTATACGAAGTTGTACTCAAGGACTTCAAGGAAAGAGTCAATATGGTAACTATTTTTGGGTCGGAATTATCTGGTGGTGAAACACTATTCTGCTTAAATGGTTATGTTTTGATCTGCGCTGTTTCGCTGTTATGCCCTCTTTTTTCTCAATCTCCACTCCATTATTTACTTTTTTATTTTTATCCGTTTAATTAAAGGGAAAAAAATAGCAGGATATAATATAGTAACCCACTTTGACTTTCTATTATCTCGATTTGTAGCCCTGTATTACTCTCACCATCTTGTTTTTGACTGATGTTCCCCTATTCTGTTTTGCTGGATAGTATCAGGTTCGAAAGTTTAGGCATCAGCTGTGAAGATAATGAGATTCATTATAACGCCCATTCTCGTTGACTTTTATCTACTTTTGAAGACCTACAATGTCTCCAATGTTTTGGTTTTGTTGGTTTTGTTCTTTACTGTTTTGTTCAATTGTATTATAACTAATGATACAGGCAATTCTATTAGAGATAGCGGGAGGCATTATGGTAACCATTGTTGATCACCTTGTATTATGTTTTTATATTATCTATTATGTCCACCCTTTTGACTTGACCGATTCTGTTCTGTTATGTCTCATTTGGTTTTACTCTCTTCCAAAAAAGCAATAAGAACCGTGGGAGCAATGAAACCCAAAATGTGTAATAGTCATTGTACAAAAGAGAGGAAAAGAAAGTCTCTAAACTATATAACTGCATGTATATTTAAGTGTATAGGATAGAAAATGATATCACAGAGTTTTATTGGATCATTGAACAGAACTGTTTGCAGTATCATTGTTGGAATGTCCACTCTACAAGCTTTAATTTTGTGACTTGAACAATTATTTCTAAGATGGCAATATATAATCCATTAACTAGTGATTTCCTACTGTTCATTTTTTTCTTCTGTAAATCTGTATAACTTGTACCCTTTCACTGTTTTTTTTTTTCTTTTCTCCTTAAATAAAAAAAAAAAAAAAAAAGAGAGAGAGAGAAAAAAAAGTAAACTGGAAGCTGGGTGTGGTGGTCCATACCTGTAATCCCAGAACCTGCGAGGCTGATGCCAGAGGATCACTGCTTGTTCAAGGCCAGCCTAGGCCTGAACTGCATAGTAAAATCTTGTCAAAAAAAAAAAAAAGAGCGAACATCTGTAATTTCAACACTGTGGTAAACTAGGGAGAAGAATTCAAAGGTTTTGTGTGTGCGTTGTGTGTGTTTTGTGGGAGACAGGGTCTCAACTATGCAGTTCAGGCTGGCCTTGAGCTCACTTTGTAAGCCAGGCTTGTTTCAAACTCACAACAATCCTCCAGCCTCCCAAATGCTGGATTTACAGGCAAGCACTACCACACCCAGCTTAAAATTGAAAATTTGAGTCCAGCCTGTTGCCTGACAAGTGTGAGTTAGATTGCTGGTAATCAACCCACCACACTGCCCCCCAAAAAAGCAAGAGTCCAGCATGAGCAACTTGATGAGAATCCTCTCTCAAAATTAAAAGTAAAAAAGGCTGGGGATGTAATTCAGTGCAGAGGTCCTGGGTTCAATCTCTAGAACAAGAACACCACCACCACCAAAAAGATGCAGGGAGAAATATAGTATACCTGTGTCTTATACATTGTTAAGAATAGTAGGCAGATGTCTCAAAAAGCTAAAAATAGAGCTATAATTTGATCCAGCTACACCACTCCTTGATATATACCTGAAGGAAATAAAGCCAGCATATTATAGACATACTTGCATGCTGATGGTTTATTTAAACACAGTTTGTAGCATATGGAATCACCTTATGTACTTATTAACAGATGAAAGGGTAAAGAAATATGTATAATACAGTATTGTTCATAAAAAAAACAAATTAAATCATGTTATTTGTAGGAAAATGGAAGGAATGTGGAGATCATGTTAAATGAAATAAGCTAGACTAAGAGAAAGAAAGGTATCACACACTTTCCCTAATACATAATATCTAGGGTGAGGGAAATAATGACATCAAAGTTGGAAGGGATGTTATGCTCTATGCTTATCACCCTAGTAACCATGTACCTGGAGCGCCAACCACATTGTTATAAACTAAAATTGGTTATAAATTAACTGACCACGTCATCATGCTGTTTTGTATGCATCGTTCCCCCCCACCTTAGTAACCTGTTTGCTGTGTCAAATTTTGTTCCCCTTATCAGAGACAAATGATGCTGTGTCAACCATTGTTCCCTTTATGAGAGACAAATGTTCCTAGAATTGGCAGACTAAGGGCTATGAATTGGCTAACCATCCACTGTGAAATGCCTCTGACCTCAAGCAAAGGGGAACAAAGGCCCACCTTGTTTCTGTTTCTCATCGCTATGTACTTAATGATCAATGAGCTAATCATAAATGAACTATGAAAATCAGTCAAAATTCTAACTCAGTCGCACAGCTTTGCAAATTACATCTGCACTGTGTCGCTGGGCCAGCTAAAATAAAAGTGCTTCTTTTAAGATGTCGCCGTCTTGCTCCGTTTATCATCTCAGGGGTCTTGCCCCGTTTTTCATCATGGGGCCTTGTTTTTTGGCGGGGGAGGTTACAACAGGGACAGTAGACAAAGTCAACATTCAGCATCTTTTCTATATACCAAATAATGAACTAGCTGAAAAAAAAAATTGGAAACACAATTTCATTCACAATATTTT